CTATTTTGCTATTTTTTCCATAAGAGGGATAACTAAGGAAGCCACATCAAATATGCAACATATCTGAGCAGCTTTCTGTGATGAAAATAATCTGGTTTTAATACAAAGATGGAAGAATTAAATAGAGAGAGACACAACAAAAATAACTCTTATAGCACCACAACTATATTGATGGGCTCCTGGGAGAGATCAAAAAAACAGACCTTCCCACTGGAGGAGGCTAAGGTACCTCTTCTCCTACTAGTTGATACTTTATGCTGTATCAGCTACTGGAAATCACTTGGATTGCACGAAGAGCTGCTATACAATACGGGTCTTGCAAACGTAGCCATAAAATGTACTGTTCTTGCCATGCTGGCATGCAGAAGAAAAACTGTGCTGTTTGTAGCCACATACGCAGCATCTCCTTAAAGCACTCCCAAATGCACAGGCATATTATCACAGGCAGAGGAGAGCAATGCTGGGTGCAGCTAAGGCACTGCTGATTGCTGGCGGAGAAATAGCAGGTTCAAAGCAGGAGTAGCAAAGCAACAGTTTGTCATCACAGTGGCTGCCCTCACTCCTTTCTCACCTTCACCTGGTACACAATTTGTCACATGCTAAGAAGAAGTGCTGTGGGATCTCTGTGCTACAATATTGGCAGAAACCACTGAGTAAATGATAACCCTAACAACCTACTTGTAATTCCCTTTGGACTCTCTCATAAATACCAGCTAGCCAGCATTGGTCTTTAAGAAGTATTTCTTCAGGGGAAAATTGCACCTCTGGTGAAGAGAATCCATCAGTCACTTAAATTTAGCAGGACTGACCTTTGAAGCCACAAGCTCTGTGCTTATCCTTCTTTAATCACCAATTTTGGGAGCCGGTCCTTGAAAGTAATCTCAGATCCTTTCTATCCTTTATCTTTTTTTTTTTTTTTTTAATTTAAAAGATAAGGAGTTTACTGCAAATATGCTTGTATAAAGATCATTAACACGTTTAAAATTAAGCTCACATTCAATTACTTTGCTTGATAGGTTGTAATGTTCCTAGCCTTTTTCTATGTGCTTGAAAAAGTAGATAGATAAATGATTTTTCTATTGATAAACCTCAGTAGGCAGCTAAGCATCACTCAGCCACTCGCTCACCCCCCACCCAGCAGAATGGGGGAGAGAATCAGAAGGGTAAAAGTGCAAAAACTCGTGGGTTGGGATAAAGACAGTTTAATAATTTTTTTAATAGGAGGGAAAAAAAACAGAGGGAAGTTAAAAAAAAAAAAACCAAACACAAGAAAAACAAGTGATGCAAAAAGAAAACAATTGCTCACCACCAACTGACCTATACCCAACCAGTCCCCAAGCAATGGCAGCTCTGGCCAACCTTCATCCATGCCCTCACCCCCAGTTTTATTGCTGAGCATGATGTCATATGGTGTGGGATATCCCTTTGGTCAGCTGGGGTCAGCTGCCCCAGCTGTGTCCCCTCCCAACCTCTTGTGCACACCCAGCCTGCTCACTGGTGGGATGGCGTGAGAAACAAAGAGGGCCTTGATGCTGTGTAAGCACTGCTCAGCAACAGCTAAAACATCCCCATGTTATCAACACTTGAATCACAAATCCAAAACATAGCCCCATACAAGTTACTATGAAGAAATTTATCTTGGCCAAAACCAGTACACTACATCGTTCCGGCAATTCCAAATTTTAGTTTCTGTGCCACCATTCCAATATTCCCATGTCCTACCAAATGGAAAGCGCCATAGACAAACACTCATCACACTGCTGCAGAGCCTGGCTTACGGATGATCATCTCCTAATAAAGTCCCAGAGCTCATGTTTGAGAGTGCTGAAATTTTTAGTGGTCATCTCCTGACAGTCAGTACTGGGGGAAGAGCAAAGCCAGCCCCAGCCCAGACAAAAGGCTTTCCGGAATGCAATGACAAGCTCCCAGTTTTGCTTGCCAGGCTTTTCTTTGGCACAGCTGCCTGCCGCAAGGCTTAGAAACAGCTCAGATCAAGATGGTAGCAGGCAGCAGGATCGGGGCACTGAGCACAGTAAAGAAATCTCATTCCTTATGGTTGTGGTCAAGCCTACATCTCTTTTTCCTTCACTTTTCCACTTATAAAGCAGGCACAATAATACTTGCAGCACCTCCATGACTCTACCAGCCATGAAGGATTTCTGCTGACCCCTCTGCATGCAACGTCATGGTACCAGGAACCGCAGCACTGCCACTGTCCTTACTTCTCTTTTCCCATCCACATCCCTGTCCTTACCCAGACTTTGTTTAAAAAAAAAAAAAAAAAAAAGTCCTTTTCATTACAAAAGGCTTTTGTGACTTGTAATTCTTAAATAACACAGCCTCCAAATTACAGCAGCATGTCAGTTAAAAGTACTGAGCTGCACATGAAATTCTAAAAAATATACATGCTTTAGAGACAGAACCAGTGAATGGTTTTGCTTGCACAAAAACAATACAGTAAAATCTAAGGGGATACCATATGCAAAGGTAAATAAAAAACTAGATAGGTAGAAAATACTTACCATCAGTAAACAT